ACTGCAGTCTTCACTGTGTTCTTATCTCGTGCTTTTCTTTGCTGCATTGCCTTTACGCGGGGCTCCTTTCCTCTTCGATGACGCCGCTGGAGTGTCACCGCCTTTGCGTGCTGCTGCTGTCTTCCCTGACAGCCCCTTCCCCGCCCGCGCATCTCTCTCCTCTTGCCTTGCAGCATTCATCTGCCGTAGCTTTTCTGCTCTTTTCTGCTCGTCGGTAATGCCTTGGTATCTGTATTCCCAGCGAGCCTTGGACAAGTTATCAACCAGCCTCAGGTCCTTCAACTGGATCGTCACCCTCTTGCAGTGGATAGCAATGATGTTCGTTCTCTCGAAATGGTTGATGAGATATGCTTCCGCCGCTTCCATCAACGCACGTATGGCGCTCATCTGAAACCTCATAGACTCCCCCGGTGCGATATCTGTTTCGACGATCTCGCCCATTACCCTCATAAACGGCCTCAAAGTGATGCACAAGTTAGTAGATCGTTGGAGTTGCGGAATCTCTGCCAATGCTGCCATCCCCGGGCGGCGTCTGCGCTTAGGAGCTGAGGCAGCGGCTGCTTTGGGAGTCTCGCCTCTACGTGGGACAACTTTTTCTTTGCCTTTTGCTATTGTGGGACTCTTGGGATGACGAGGCGGCCTGGACGTGCACTGCTTCTTCTTCTTCTCTGCCCTTTCTGTCACGTGCTCCACAGGGGTGTCACCGTCGTCGGGCTGTGCGTGAGAACATCCCCCAGCATGTGCCGTTTCCGGGGCGTCGACCTCAGAGGAGAAATGTGAAATGTCCTGCTGCTGCTGTGCTGTTTGTTGAGGGTTGATTGCAGCACGACCGTCGTCATCACCCGCGTACTGAATGTGTCGCAGCAGTCCATCCATGAACGTGAGCTGGAAAGGGACACCCAGAGGGTCTCTCAATCTCATGCTCATATGTCATGGGACAGACGACAGGGACCCACCCAAGTAGTGATGTGCACCCGTATCTGCGTCGATTGCCCTCCAGCAACAAGTTATTCGTCGAGGGTCGTGGTTGGTCGGTGCACGCGTCTTCCACAATGAACCACATCGCCCGGTCGTTGTGGTCGTCATATCCCATGCACACCATCTGCCGATCTTCCTCCCTTATCTTCTCCCAACAACGTTGAGCGAGTTCCTTCAGCAATCGCCGGTCCCTCACATGAGGATTGCAAACGGAAACACGTGTCACCACCACCAAGAACTGTCAATGCTCACATGAGGATTGCAAACGGAAACACGTGTCACTCACCGGATTGCATCCTTGCTGCCAGTGTCACTTTGCCATCAACAACTGCTGGATGCAAAGAACCAGGTACCCAGTTGACATGGTACCCGTACATGTCACGGGCCACATGCTGGTACAACTGCCCTTCTTGAATCACATGCGCCGCAATGTTACTTGCTGCGACGACATCCTTCCGCATTGCTGTATGGTCCCATACGTCCATACAGATGTCATCAAATGTGGCTTTTTTCACCATAATGTGAACGTATGTGATGCGCTTCTCACCAGTAAACACCTTCCCTTCAGCGAGGGCCAACTCGACAGGATTGCCGAGTGGCAGGTCAGAAATGCGTGCATCGCGTGGCCTGCATCTCATCGCTTCCTTTTCCTCTGCAGTTGCTTCTCTGTCGAAATGACGGAACGAAAACATGCCATTCACGTAATGCGCGCTCCACACATTGYCCATGATATCACGCACTTGCATCTTGACACGGCCATATCCAAATGGGACTGCAGATGGCACCCAACCCCATCGAGGATCCCTCCTTGCATCATCCTGGGCGACTGGCGTTCTCCTCCTGCCTTGCTGGTCACCCAACTCCCACAGCCGACCGCAGTCAATGTTGTCATATAGAAAATCATTGAGGCGCAACTCACCCTTTGCCTCTAGAACACGATACATGTCCAATGCGTGTCGGCAAGCATCTTGGGTCGTTGCCCCGTCGTTTAACCTCAACACTCTGTCATAGATAAATGACAGACATACGTTACGCCATATTTCATTCGTTGGGGGAGGAAAAGCAACCCACTCATCACCAACCTTGAAAGCAAAGCAATCCACACCTCCAACGATACCAGGCTGAACACGACCAGGCACCCAGTTCACATCGTACGGGTATCTATCTTCTGCCATTGTCTTTGTCACATTTGCATCTTTGACAATGCATCCACTGTGAGGACCCTCGCTGCCAACATCTTCGTCCTCTCTCTCTCCACCCACCTTCTCTGTGTGACCAATGTTCCCTCGTGCACCGCTTTCGTTGTCATCCACATTAGCCAGCATCTGCTCAGTTTCCATTTGAATAGTGGCCAACACGTCATCACATGCTGCAGTGGTGCCCCCGCCGCTGGTGTGCTGATGAACTGTCGTTCCGTTGTCCTCGCATGAAGGGGAACGACCACTTAGAATGGCTGCTGTTTCCATGACGTCGGTCTCTCCGTCATTGGCGGCTGTTGCAATGGCGGGTTCCATCTAAATATTTACAAAGCACGTGAGGTCGTGAGTCACAACATTAAGAAAAAATTTCCACACGAGAGAGAGAGAGAGAGAGAGAGAGAGAGAGAGAGAGAGAGAGAGAGAGAGAGAGAGAGAGAGAGAGAGAGAGAGAGAAAGAGAGAGAGA